AGGTACATAAGTTGTGATTGTCACTGGGAAATGAAGTATAAGTGAATTCTCTTGTAAGTAAAGTTAGTTCAGTCCTTACATCATCAAAATGACAAAGAAAATCAGAATACTTCATTTCTAAAATATATCACACACTACCCTTTCTTCTTTAAAATGTGTAGCTTATTGGTAGCTCAAGAAGGGACTGACACTTTTTTGGCAAGTAGGATACAATAAATAAATATAATGAAGAAATCAGCAACATCAATAAATAAGCTGAACTGTGATAACGTAACTTCTTTAAAGAGTACTGAAGAGCTGACCACCTTAACTGCAAGTGGTGTGAGATTGATGTAAGTTCTTTTGTCTCTTTTTGTTAATTTGTTTTGTTTTCTGGCTCTTTCTCCTTGTTTGTTTTAACATCTTGCTACTCATCAATGGACTTGCCCCAGCACCCGCACCCTCCCTGCCCTACAGAATTACAGCCTAACCACATTAACTGGAATAGTCTAGAAAGAGAACACAGATCCTAAGCAAGAACCTCTCATAAGAAAGGCATTGTTAGAGTAGTCAACCTAACCTAAAAGTATGTATGTGTGTACGTGTTGACCCACTCACCTCTACCTAGGTTTCAGACTAGAGAATTTATGGGAAGTCTAGCCCCCAAAGATTACCTATCCCCACTATTTGATAATGGTGATTTGGACAGGAGAATTTATGGCAAGTCTAGCCACTAACTGGATGTTACCACATCAAATACTGAGAATGGCTAATCTTCGGGGCTTTTAAGAAACCAGACTTTGAGCTACTTTTAGATGATAGTGTGATGACATTTTACCCCCGAGAGAGAAGCCTGGTTGAGGGACACACAGCAGAAAGCCAACATGTTTAATGTCACTTACCCAAAAGACAGCACACAGGGTAAATACGAAACACAACTAGATGGAAGGAAAGGACATGCGAGTTATAAATCTGAGAATCTTTCAAAAGCCTAATAAAACTGAACAAACTACTCCGCATTCACTGGCACAGATAACACACTATATGACCAAATCGATGAAACAGGTGCCTGCAGTTTTACTTATATGTTCCCCGAGTATTCTTTCAAAGCCTGTAACTGTAATATTCCTTGAAAAGCACCTAATAAATGATCTACTAAGGAAACAGAAAACATGCCTGAGGAATGCTCTAGAGGGAATGTAAAGCTGTCCTTACGAGTGCTCCTGGTCATGCTAGTGACAGAGTGCTGCCCATACAGTCAGTGAGCACAGCTGCTACTGCATGCAGGGGGTTCCCACTTGCTCAGCATTCCATGACCAGCTACTGTGATAATGTCCGTGTGGAAAAAGCATCAGCTCACATCCCTCTGAAAGCGAGCCTGATCATTCCTTCATTGTGTCACCAGAAGTAAGCAGGAGAGTTAAAAAAAAAACAAGAGCACTTCCTAG